GTATAAAATGCGTGGAAAGTCCTCTTCACAAAACCATTCCAGCTCTTCTTTCTCTAGGGGTCGATTACGGTGAAAATCACCAGATCGAAGCTCAAACCCTTCTCCCTATAACATGGAAATTCACAGAAAATCTGGGATTATGATTCCCGTCATCATCATAATCTTCTTGGTTGTTAGCACGAAACCTAGTAGTGCAGCCTCCAGGCCATTAAAAGGTGACCAAAACCCTAGCAGGATGGATCATCATCATAACGATCGACCACAGGCTTTCACAGATAGCAGAGCTCCTGTGCCACCCTCCGGTTCTTCTCCCTGCACGCACATACCCAAAGAAGGTGAAAACTGCCCGCCGACCCGCTGAAGGTGGTCCATGATTTGGTGCAATAACCACCGGTGCTGCAGTGTGCATGATTCATATCAGATCATGGTATTTATTTATTCTGTACGTAATTGATCGTATATGTGTCTGTACATATATAACTGATCAGCTTGAATAAGGATCAGACGTGAATTTAATTTTCTTGTATGGCTTGGGTAAGGTGGTAGGAAGGAATTGGGAGCTTGTTTTTTTCTTGTTACATCCTGGTATATATGGTGTTGGCGGAACTTTAGAGTTTTTAAGGGGGATGGGGGTTCTAGGGAGGGATTGTTGAATATGATACAGTCAAAAATATTTCTTTGGATCAAAAATAAAGTGCAGGGATGTGTTTTTTCCTTTTGTGATTGGAAGGTTAATCCGCTTGAGAGTGCTGCAGCTATAAGAAAACATAAAAGGATGCTGAGAGTGTTTCATACGAACCAAAGGGGGCGGGTATAATGGGTTCACTGGGTGGGCTAGTTGCATTTCACATGTTCTTTGGGTTATGGTAGAAGTTGCTAGAAGGGTTGCTTATGTTAATATGTGTCCATTGGTTGTATGTTAATTTTTATATGAATTAGAGATTGTACTTTATATAATAAAATTTATTTATTTTGTTGATAAAAAAAATTTTCATGTCATATATATTTGATGTGTACATATAAGTTTAAAATAATTCTTAATCATGTAATTTTATGGGCTAAAACCAACTTTTAGCCCCTTATCTTATAAAATTGGTAAGTTTTAGCTCTTAACTTTATAATATAATATTTTTAACCTTTTACCTTACAAAATTAGTAGGTTTTAGCTTCTTACTTTACAAAATTAGTAGGTTTTAGCCTTTCACCTTATAGTATAACACTTTTAGCTTCTTATCTGTACAAATCGAAGAAAATAACCCTCACTTAACATCATATTATAATATTCTTTTAGTTTTGTTAACCAACTATTAATTCTGTTAGCTGACTGTTAGCATCCGTTAACATTCCATTAATGAAACTAACATATAAAATTGAATGTAAATTTCATGTTTTTCTATGACAGAATGCTAACGGATGTTAACAATCAGCTAACAGATGTTAACAGTCAACTAACAGAATGTTATAACTTGATATTAGTTGAGAACTATTTTCTTCAATTTGTATAAGTAAGGAGCTAAAAATGTCATAATATAAGGTGAGGGATTAAAATCTATCAACTTTGTAAGGTGAGAGGCTAAAACCTCCCAACTTTACAAGGTACAGGACCTAAAGTGTCATATTATAAGATGAGGAACTAAAAC